TAACCAGGAAAGGTCAACAGGTCAGCCTGGCCATTTGCAATGAGATGCACATCACTGCACTCATCTTGACAAGGTGAACTCAGAACTGTCTTCAAAATTTGCAGAACGATTCTCTGAGCGGAGTTATGGAGGGTTTTATCCCCGCATTGTCGTTTCGCATGCTATCGCGAGGAAGCGTGGAAGCCTCTTAACAATTATGTATGGAGTCATGCTGCAACGTGGTAGCAGAGCGCAACGGGTAAGGGGCGGGTTTCTTAGGCGAGACGTCATAGGATCGGTTCCGAGGCAAGCGCTGTTTTGCATTGTGTTCTGGAACATAGCCGACAATAGAGCTTCTAACATCTCTGCTCGCCTGCACTACCCTATAAGGGAACCTGCGATCAGTTTTTTTGAAAGTGTAGACCCATTGTGGCTTGGAAGAGTGCCTCTGCTTGTACCCCTCGTAACACGTGTCACGAGGGTTTTTGCAATGAAATACCATCATATTCATGTTCAGCGGGTTAAATTACCCCTGGGACAAGTTTCCAGCCGAATCTGATTTTCCGACCTCACTTGGAAAATGTGGGCTATTCCATGGGTAAGTAGCAGCAGATTGGGGTTCCACCTGCATCGATAGACTGCCTGCCTGAATTGGAATTTCCTCCCGATAGGCCAAGAAAATTTGCAGACGCGCACATATGGCGTAAGCAGTACTGCTGTTCGGCGACATGACTGAGAGTTATTTCAGTTTCGAAGACCGGTCATCACCAGTATGCTAGTCATAGTATCGATGTTGGCTATCAGTCAGCCATGACTATCCATACCCCATTTTTTCGAAGTTCAGTCAGAAGCTCAGATTTTGCTAAGGTGACGTCTCTGGGGTTATTTCGATCCCCCTGAACACGAATGATACCTGTTTTGCGCGAACAGCGCTGTGAGTCGCGCTACATGTGCCAACGCTTCGGCGCCAGCGCGCCCGTAAGAAGAAAAACAGTAAAGAAACCTCCATAACTCCGCTCAGAGAATCGTTCTGCAAATTTTGAAGACAGTTCTGAGTTCACCGTGTCAAGATGAGTACAGTGATGTGCATCTCATTGCAAATGGCCAGGCTGACCTGTTGACTTCGGGTCAGTGGAAAAGATGTTCTGCTTTGACGGGATGCTTTTATGAGCCCATCATCTTCGAGCACTCTTCGTATCCCCTTACTAAGCGATGTTTCAGTATTCATACTCCCAATGAAAATTATCCATCAAAAGACAGATGATGAACGATTACATGTAGCGTGCGAAGCTTTGAACATATGTATACTGTGGTACGCTGCAGACGGTTGGGTGCACCGTGTCAGGGGAATGATAATTTGACGCTGTGCAAACCTGCTCTTCCACGCCGGTGTTAATGGCGTGCCCAGGTGTGACTCATCATATCGTTCGTACGCGAGCGTGGATGTTCTACCGTATAATCCATGCAAGGGGTTCTGATCATACGAATGTAATGGCTTGGCCTTAGGATAGCAAAAATATTTAAAAAAAATGGGGCTCTAGTCTCGTCAGAAATCAAACAGTTTTTATCATCTTATCGCACCTAAGCCAACTTTCAGCTGGCCGTCATTATCTTTTATTCTTATTGCTTCATCAACATTGCATTTTCTTTTTTCAGCTGACAAGCCCGATCTCAGTTGCATTCTGCCCGCTCATATGTTGTCAGGCAAGGAGAATACCAGCGAGATTTGGAAAAAGACAGTCAAAGCGCTGAAGGTAATTATGTCTCGCGCATTCATAGGGAATTCTACCGAGAAATTATATTTATAAATGTCGTGGTGCTAACTCAGAAACGAAACTTTCAAAAATCTTAAAATTCGGAGAAAAAAACTATAGTTTGTCCGGAACGTTTTGAAAAAATTCAATCAGCTTATTTATTATTATTAAAAATAATAGGAGATAGGAATTCGTAGTTATAATAAACATTGTCTATCCCATTCCCCTTAACTTTTGGGCGGGATTGCATTGCGTGGGAGCTATACTCGAAATACCTGAGATCGGGTAGGCGTGGCCGCATGTTTCAACTTAACCTGAAGGTGTCTATGCTTCTGGTGAGATATTTTCATCTTGACACAATTGTTGTCGTGTCTCTGTCCAACAGAGAACAAGATGACAGTTGTCCCAGACTGGAAGTATTTCCACGAGTAGCAGTGAGTATGCGGAGCATGGCGAAATATCAGCTTGCCGCTCATCGCAGAATGAGATGAATACGAGCTTCAGGAACGCGTCGTCCTTTTGTGGCGGGCGGGCGAGTGAAGCGGCGTTATGAGACGTGCTCGATAGGGCGTTATAGGGGTACCCTCCTTGGAAAAGGCGCCACGGAGCGCCTGTCCGAGGTCACGGAATTCTGTTAAGCCAGTCGTATAAATCCTACATCTGTATAGCGATTTATCGTGCCAACTGCCTTTAATAGCGCTCAGATGTTTGTTTCCTTTTTTTCAATGGTTGTGATTTTACAATTATGTCTACCTCGTGTATCTAGCGTACATACAATAATTAGGAATAGAAATAGATGTACCATGTGGAAATAGGGTGCATTATATCTCTCATTGCAATTGAGATAATATCATCTACTGGTAATCATTTCTTTCTGGAAGTATTTGCCTACACATGCTTTACAGGATGTTAAGTCGAGTAACGTGTCGCACCTTCAAAAAGAATTCCTCTCTTACTGTCGACAGTTTCGCACTTATGGCTCAACGTTTTTCATTGCTGAAGTCTACATGTCGCAGGTTTGATAAGTTTTTACAAAAGCTTTCCATTCGCATGGCCAATCGTTATCATCTTGTTATGACTATATTATTACTGGTTGGCCTGTCATTCTCGGAATGACACTGATAGCGGTACCATTCTTGGAATTCTGCAAGGCTTGGCATTTAATTTGGCAGGGGTTGAACCGCTGGATTTCGGAAGTGCCGGCATGAGCTTACACTCTGAACCGCCCGGTTACTTCTGCCTAACCACTTTATGTTCGCTGACTGGTCACAAAACCCAATGTTTTTACAATGGCTGGATTGTTTTTTCGTATTATAGGAGCAGGGGAGTTTGAAGGCCATGAGAGCCCATCGGAAAAACAAAAAGTTAAGAACTGGAACAAACCAAAGACAAATCATATTCAATAAGATTGAACTCTTTATTTCCCCTTAAAAATGGCAATGTGATGAAAACATTTTTTTTTTTTTTTTTTTTTTTTTTTTTTTTTTTTTTTTTTTTTTTTTTTTTTTTTTTTTTTTTTTTTTTTTTTTTTTTTTTTAATCGCTAGTGTATTTCGTTGTAATGGTAGCAGCTCATGGTTTTGATTGATTTATACTATTTTTTTTAATTTTTTGACGCGATGAAAACAACAGAGCCGCCTAAGAAATCCATGCACTATTTGCATTTTGCTGCCTTACTTCATGATGATCAGAGGTGTCATTGTAGTTTGTCCTCGGGACTAGTTTGACTGTCTGAACTCGTGAACACTTATTTGGTGCGAAAAGGACTAGTAGCAGTTGCTAGATTGAAGAATCAGGTGTCAAAACAGAGTAAAATAATGGAGTAGTGGAAAATGACAAAAATTAAGAAAAACAGACACTGAAGTGTCCGAAGAAGTTTGGAAAGGCGTGGTGGAGTGTTTTTATGAAACGCCATCGTCAGAAATCCAACGAGACAGCTTAAACTTCCTCCATCAATCATCAGGGACTCAAAAGGGTATTTTCTGGAAAGTTTATGATGCGTGGGAACTAGCAGTACGGGAAAGGATGCATGAAATGGCGATAGAGGAAAGATAGCGTGATCAGGATAAAAAAGAATCATCTGCTCGATGGGACTCAGGTGGGGACTTTTGAAAACATTACACCGCAAAAGTCGCTTTTCACTAATCACTTCTTCACTCACTCACTCATCACTCGTCACTTTTTTTCTGTGAGTACTGTGGCAGAAGCCTCTAAACAGAGAAGGTGAAATTCAAGTTCTGTGATGTGATGGTTGGCACCTAGCTTTAAGTAGACTCAGGGTCGAGAAGGCTTCAAAAAGTCCGAATGTTGTTTTAAGATTTTTTTGACGTACCTAGAGTGCATCAAATAAATGAATAAGTAAATAAATTTCCTTCAGTCAAGCGTTTCACCCGTAAACCGTACTCTTCTGATCAATCAGAATTATTTATTATGCGGGAAAGGGAGTTGTTTTGGCCATCGGATTTCAAAACAAGTAAGTTGATAGAATGTTTTCAAGAGGAAAAGAAATATTTCTGATGGTGAGTGAGAGCATCGAAAGCACTTGACAGCTCAAAAGCAGTGACGCGAATTTTAGATCTGTCATACTTAGAGAAGCTATGATCAACAATTCCCTTGAGAAAGCAGCTTTTGAGAAGCTTTTCTCGGCAAGCAGTTGATAAATTGGTGACGTAGCGCTTACGTACTTTATAACGAATACGCTCTGGAGGATGACACAATCCTAATCACAGGAAATCAGGATGAGTTTTGGCCAAAAATTACTCTGGAACTTATCCCTTTCTACCACTCTTCTCGGAAATCCCACTCATTGGCGATTTTGGGTGGGGGAGGGGGGAAGAGCATTTTGCTCCCCATCAATAAGCCGACCCATCTAGATAGCCTTTTCTTGAGTTGACGCGTTTCACCATGGTGGTTAGACGAGCATAGACGAGCTTGTTCCAGCTTCACAAGGGTTCACAAAAAAGGGCATATCGTTGTTGGGGAATCCCCAAAAGGGGGCCGTATTTGGTCGCCGGGAGAGATCGTATTTGGCGTGAAGAAATATTGTTTTGATAGTTGATTTTTCCGCGGCACACAGGCTGGTTGGATTCCCTAGGGGGGGTCGTATTGGCGCCAAAAGGGGGGGGGTTCGTAAAAGCTCGACTAAAATCCCCATCGAATGCTGGATGCGCTGACTGCACGTTTGTGCCTTGGTTCACAAGTTTCACCAGAGTGAGACTTGTAAACCAGGCACACCATTGGTGTAAACTGGAGATAGTGAAACAGTGAAAGTGCAAAATTCCCCCCCATTGCCGAATTGCGCCCTACTTCATATTATTTGTTCTGTAGGATAGCCCTATCGAGTGGAACCTACGCAGTTGAATTCCTGAATGTCACTGGACGTATGTAGAAAACTTTCATGAGCGTCTGCGGCTTGGACCAAAAACGGAATGGGTGGCGAGTCCCGACTGTGTTCCAAAGTTCTGAGTTCTGTTCTCTATCATTTTCATGTCACGAGTTAGCCTCAAATCATTAGGCTGTATCGCGGTTAGCGATAGGAAAACACGATACTTAAACTATGCGACTATGAGTCAGGCGCGCTAAAGCGAACTGTAAGCGCCTGACTGCGACACCTGCGCTCTTCTTGAGCAGGGCAAAAAAGTGTAAGGGACTGTAGCTGTAGCTAGCCAGCTGTGAACGCTTCTATAAAGAGGATGACATGGTACAAGACATGAAACGCGTGGCAGGGGAACAATTTTAGGCTGGTTGAAAGGGATGTTGAAATTCGTACGAGCTATGCAACGCCTTCGGTCTTACATGGTCATTACGGATAGCGAAGGAAATTGCTCGGGGGAATTGGTGTTTGTTTGGTTTTTGGACGACCACTTTGGGACCGACTGGGTGGAACATCATTCTAGAAGTGAATTACTTCATAGTTGCAGAGTATACGCTTCTTTAAAAATTTATGAACAGGTACAGCTTCAAATTCTACATTACCTAGCGTCAAGCCTGCTGATCTACGGTCCGTTTAAGAGATAATTTCGTGGGAAGTTGAAGTTAAAAATAATAAACTCTGCGGTGAGGTATCTTGTGTACTGTACTGTCCGTAGTTGAAGGCAACAAAGAGCGAGGGTAGAGGCGAAAGAGAGGCAGATACATGGGTATAAGAGGAAAGCGCTTTCAAAAAGGCAAGGATATGAAAGCACGGGCTTACGCAGTTCAGAGACGCTCCCTTTAGCCCTTAGATATGAACGCAACCATTAGAGCGCTTCAAAGGACCAACTGAGTTCTTGATATGTCCTATATATCCCCACACTTTGTCTTTAGGAGTTATGGCGGAAGGGTCAGCCTATAACGGGGTAGAAGCTAGAAAACAACAAAAAAATAAGCGGGAATAAGAGAAAAGAGAAATGGAGACAGTTGAACGGCAATAATTTTTTTGGCAGAAGAGTGTGAGAAGGTCCTTATTCAGCGGAAGGACGGTAAATATATCCAGTAGGTGCCTTAGTACTCTATGGGGACCTGAATGTTCGTCAGGTCATTCAGAATCACATAGTGGGAACTCCATTAGGTCATTATGTTCAAGGTTACGCCAATTGAACGCACTCTTAATCATGGACCACTGAAGCATGTACGCTCCAACGCACTTCGGCAACGGTATTAAGGTCGCCAAAGATGCATTGGGTCCTCACGTATAGGAAAGACACGATGGTGGCTTCTGAGTTCAACACCAAGGGTTCACGCGTGAGCTGTTCAATTTTCGTATTGGATTGCTTTATTGGTGAAGGAATAGGAAATTCACCCTCCTACAAAATGGAGACTAAGGTTGATGTGCAAAAGTGTCGACGTTTCTTTCTCACTGGGGAATCTGACGCGTAGTTTCGATTCAGATCTTTGAAAGACAGATCGGTCTGAGCGGAATATGATGCCCGCCTGCTTGTTGCGGCAGGGTATGTAGTGGCGCGCGTCACCATCATATTTCCTGCTGTGTCAAGTAGGGAAGTTATTACTTTGGTGAAGTGAGGAAGAAAGAGGGCGCAGTTTGTCGACGGGGCGGCATTTTGCTGTCTATAGATGTGTCGACCCATCTGGGCAGGCGTTTCTCGAGTTGACACGTTTTAGGATAGTGGCTAGACAATCTTACTTCAGCTTCACAAGAGTTCACAAGTTTTACCAGAGAGTGAGATTTGTAAACCGGAACTAGGGAAGCACTGATAATACAAAATGCCCTCCGCCCCGCCCCCCGTTCGACAAACAGCGCCAGGAAAGAATCTAGCTGAGATTGAGATCCAATCCAAAAAAACACTAGTGGAAGTCTGAAACAGGGAATTTCACATGGGCCCGGTTCGGCCGTGCGAGGTGCACGAAATTGGACTGCTAAGCCGAAACACCTCCGAGGACGGCACGTAAGTCTCTGTAGCCGGAGACGCTTACGGTATAGCCATTTTGCCGGACTACAGGGGCTGTACTCGGCAGTTTTGGCCTAAGTGTTGCTTAGTGAACACAAGTGCAGAACACCTACCCCCTCTATTAGCCGAAAAGCACCGGAACAAGAATAATAAGAAGCCCTAGAGAAGGAACAGCTGGAAATATGGTAGCTGGTTGTATGGTCCGGTATATAAACAAATAATGGCTATGGGAAGCTGTTGAAGCGCTGAAGGCTGTTTAGTAGACGGCGCGGCTAAAGCCATGAGTGACCCTCAGCCAGTACTCGTCAAGTGGTCACTGGCCATTAACGGCTCGACCAAGTCGTTAAGCCTCGTGGCAAGAATACGGCTTAGAAGGGCCCGTAATAGGGCCCAAGTGTGACTCCGGATCAAATGATTGTATGAGTTATCGACTGTGAACAACAAAGATGAAATACGGGACGTTTATTAAGAAGGACTTCGTCAGTCATCCCTGGAGTGCGCCACGTTTTTGAAGTTCCTACAAAGATCTGGGAGCTCTTTAGGAAAATAACGACGCTTAGATGGAAGTCTAGCTACGTCTAAATCAAGGTTTGCACCTTTGAAGATTAATCCGGTGCTGAACAACCGATACTTCAGCGTCCTGGGGTAGTCGATTCTGATCTTTATTGAACCAAGTGCCCTCCGTGTGAGTGCAACATGACCCTTCTGGGCAGTTGCAGCTGTGTCTGATTGAGGGACCCGCCGGCCCCTGAACGCAGCCGAACATTGAAAGTTCTGCTAAAAGCATTGATAGGAGCCGTGTCCCAAGAAGTCTGGTCGCTGACTCATCAGAGGTTCTTCACGTTATGGGCGGCTATCTCTGAGGCCTTGTGTTAAAATTGCTGATAACTTAATGGTCTATTTAATCTTATTGAAATTACACCCTAGTGTGGGCGACGTACTTATAACGAAATCGTGCCCTCATACAACCACAGAGAAAAAACGGAACCTTTTTCGGGCGACATCGAAAAAAATTAGAAGCAGCTGGTAAAAACTGGGAAGAGGGAGCTCGTAGGCGCAAGTCGAAAAGTGGTTGTAGAGAACAGAACCGGGTCTTCCCTTCCAACATTACTGAAAGGCTGTTTTGCTATCAGCTATGTGAAGGGAAGTCCACCTGCGGGATCCTGGTACTTGGTTCTGAACGCAACGATACCGGACACGGCGTATGATGCAACTAGAGGGTTCTGACAAACTTGAGAGTGTGAAAGTACACAAAAGTATCTGATTAGCGGAGAGATGTTGAGATATATGGTCGTTTTCGCTGCAAACGCTGACGTGTCAGCGAGCTGGGTTTGGCGCGGCGCCAGCCAGATCTACCAAATGTTCGCAACATTAGTAAAAAACGGGATGGCGACGCGCCAAGCACAACCCACTGACACGCCCTAACGTCAGACGGCTACACATCATGGAGATGCAGATGGTGCCAGTACGTCTCAAGTGGCCTTCCCTGGTGGCATGTATGCGACCTTTAATCGGGGGGGTTATGATCGAACCATTAAGCGACCCAAATTAATTTTAACTTGAAAAGGAGAAATAGAACATGAATTGGTAACAAAAGACTTCGCTTCAAAACATATGGTTATTAATTGATCCCGTCGGCCAATTCTTGAATAGAAGACAATAGAAGACTCAGCATATTCTGGGAAATCAATCTTGAAGCGTGCACTCGAACCACCGCAAATTTCATGGACCGTAATTTAAACAGTGGGCATTGAAACCAATGCAGGAAACCAGTGCCCACGACGTCAAATGTGTGAAAAGCTTGCTGTAATAATATGAAAACTGGAGGTCAATCAACTTTGGATAGGAAGGAGATGAGAAACGGAATATAACCCCGGTGACGACGTGAATGAGCTGATGATGGTGGTAATAGTCAGGTTCAGGTAATGATCCTATAATTGGGATGGGATATAATGCCACCTGTTCACGGGGTTTACGGCTGTCCCCGATTGACTCCTAATGGGCTACTGGGCTAATTTTCCTGGAATGGCATAATGTTCATCAAGTGGTTCTTAGATTAGATATTATTTCAGTACGCGCAAGTTGCGAAGTATTACATAACCCCTGCCTAATTCCCCTAATTCCTGTAAGACGTGAAAACTTATTTTGATGAGGGGGGAACTTGACGAACGTGCCAGTAAGATGCCTGTGGACACTAGTGTCGGTCTCGCTTTTGCATCGTGAGTCAAATGCATCATCTCTGGGTTTCTCGGAGTCGAACTGACAGGGGCATTAGTGAATGTCTTCAAGGCTTCCTTTTTTAGACATTGATAGACGGCTTTGCGCTCATGTCAAGCACTATAAGCCAGCGGCTGATGTCAAGGGATTAAATTGTAGTTGGTTGAACATATAAGTAGTGCAGTACGAGTTTGATTTATTGAAGTCTACACATTGAGTACATAAATTTTCTTCTCCTCTTCTTCACTGCTTCAGACATGCTTCGGGGCAGTTAGGAGTTCTGTACACTTTGAGTCAGTGAAGCTTCACTAGGAGTAGAGCTACTCGGAGCTCCACCGCCGTGCCCTGAAGGTCGACAAAAAGATGTGGGGTAGAATCATTGCGTGAAGTTGAAGAAAAGGGAATTTTGTTCCTTTGCTCAAACTTACCCAGAAGTGAGCGTTGGCATTCATCAGACGAGGATACAACAGTGACTGCTAAAAATTACTTCGCCCATTAAAGGCACGGTCCGCGATCAGACATCGAAGTTGAAAATATGGCGTCAGGAGGTTAGAGTGGTCCGCGACGAACAACCTTGTACCGGCGAAAAAAATTCTAAGGGAGGGGCGCTATAGCGCAATATAGGTTCAGTGGTTCCTCCTTTTTCCAGTGACTCCGCCTCCAGACTCCGCCTCCAATGCCCGGCTTTCAGTGAAAACGAGATTGCAGGACGAAAAAGCATGAAAATCGTCACTTGTACGATCGTAGAGTTCTTATCGGTGAATCAGCTGTGCGTATGAGGGCGTAGTGTGGGAGATAGAGTTAATTGGGCACGTACAAACTGGGATCAAAATGGGGTTCTATCTAGGGCAGGTGGCATGTTTTTTGTGCTTTTTTCTTCACTGTCGAGTTACTCAACCCCTTGTCGTCTATATGGAACCCCCTAATCCACTATCTGAGATGGCGACTAATCGCGGGTTTCGTCCTTTAAGAGTAGGGCAGGGCTAAAAGAAAAGAATCATGGACGTCGGACCCTTGTTTCAATACCTAAATCCGTTCATCTTATGAATCCGTCAAACCAATGTGCGTAGAATCCGAGGGCGCTGACCAGTAAGGTCTACCATGGGAAAACTCATGAATCATAGCGACGTCGTCCGAAAGGCTTGGCGGCCGGTGTTTTCCACTTTCAGGCCATAGTCTCTCGGATCCTGATCCTACACGCACCTAACGCAACGGAGGGAATTATGGGGCTCTTTCGAGCAGACGTGGAGACTGTGGGTCGTCCTGAGCTCGACGGCGCTGACGGACGGCATCGCGCTGTGATGACGGTTGAGGCTAAGATGAAGTGCTTGCTCACGCGATTCACTAAAGGCTTTGTATGAACCTTGCCATGCTATGCGATGATAAACTGTGAAGATACACTTCACGAAGAAAGTGTTTTTCACTGGGAAAACTTCCCTGAAAAATTGTCTAATTAACACTGGGAGATTCTGCCG